CCGGTTAACAAGAGAAAAGAAAACAACATCTCCTTAAAATGTCGGTTGGGAGAATTCGATTTTGATCAAGACAGTCCCTCCTCTATGACAAACTCGTTTATTCTCATAGTTTTATTTCCTGAGCTTATAAGGTTATTTGGAGGAGAAATAGGTTTAAATCTCAAATCTTTGTGCTTGCAGGGCTTTGATCCTGGTGAGGATACGTACCAGGTAAGTGTTATTATAACTGGTTTTGTGATTGGTAGTGGCATTTCCCTCTGAGAAGCAAGTCTTTTTTATAAGTATCTTCTTTATAAGCCACATGATCACTCACTTTTGACAGTTTTGAAATCGGATCCCTTAGAGGGCACACAGAGGACTATCGCTTAGACTGGTGTCAAAAGCACAGTGTTTGCACAATACTCATACTTCGATATAAACAAGTCAATATGTGAAAGATAATATATTTGAACTGCCGAGAAAGATGTGAAGACATGATTGATCACTGCGTTTATATACATAACTTGAGCAGTTGTGAGATTAAAGCCTGAAAAAAATTGTTCAGGCTTGAACGGGATCCCGTCCAAGCCTGATTTTTTTTCCAGGCTTTAATTTCACAACTGCTTAAGTTGTGTATAACTTCGGTGAACAGGTACAGTATGTTTTCATACCCTTCAGTATATAAAGGACCATAATATCGCACCCCCATCCCTCCGTCCGTCTCTCCAAGTCACACAAGAAGAGGAACAGCTACTAGTTTAAGTCTTGCGTCTGCTGATTATTTTTATGTTAATATGTTATATTTTATTGGGAAGATAGTTTGGGGTTAAGAACCACTCAAACTGCTTCTATTTTCAGTAGCATGAGCCACTACGATCATAATACATCATGTTCGTAATCTGCTGAATATTTTTAAAATTCACTGTGGCAGAATGTCAGTTGAATGAGTACTTAGTCCCCCAAAATGAATGAGCTCTATTCTGCTTTTAAATTTTGATTAACATAACATAACATAACATAACATTTATTATTTGTATTGCGCCTTTTCTATAAAATATTCAAAAGCGCATCACAACAGTAATTAATAACTAAAATTTTACAAATCTTCCTATCAAAATCATAAAAAATATTTACATTAAGTGGGTAAAAGATAATTTCAAATAAAGATATAGATATGCTAAGATAACTGAAATGATTCCTTAAATAAAAATGTCTTAATTAAAGTCTTAAAAGATTCTAAGTTCGTTGCTTCGCGCGCGGACCTTGGCAGCTTATTCCATAGGAAAGGAGCAGCTACCTGGAAAGCTCTGTCTCCCAATGTTTTCTTGGCTTTCACACTTGGTCTTTCCAAGGATGTTATGACAAAGTTTCTCTCTGCCTATTTACAGGAACCTCCAGTAGACAGTTCATCAGTGACAGTAGACGTAAATCCTCAAAGGTAAGTTCTTATGGCGTTGAACACCATAGCCTGTGTTGCAATCGTTTCCTTCCCAAGCGCGCGAGAGGTAAACAAAAAGCTTGAAAGACACGCAAAGGCTTACGGCACGAAAGGGATTTGTCACGCGCGATTATGGCAAGCTTTTCGTTCACGCCTCGCGCGCTTGAGAAAGAAACGACGGCTGCGCAGGCTATGAACACCATGTCAAACGCTTTCAAAAACTAATTACCTGTAACGCCGGATTCGATTATGAACTCAAAATTGCTGCGAGGTGATTGTAATGAGGCGAAAGCCTGATCTAGCTATCACCTCATAGGAATTGAGAGTGAATATTTTAATTGTTTTATTTTAATTCTTCTAAATTTCTTTAAAACATTGATTAGCAATTATTACTCTACATTTTAAGAAGTATTTCGCCAAAGGAAATCGCTTGGAAACTTGCAGCTGTGTGAGCGAGTTTGTCATCCCTTCAACTATTTTGAGGTTTTTAAGTCGCATTTTTAAGGCACAAGGGTGAATGTCCTTAATTGCTTAAGATTTCTTGGGTCTCAATTAACCAGTTATATTTCACTTTTCTCTATAATCCCTGGGAAGTAGTCGTCTATAATTAGTACACGATTACTATTGGCTAATTGTGTACGATAGCTCAGCCAATCATATTGAAGCATCTGCATCAGTATACCAGCAGAATCCTACTAATAAGGTTATGGTTATGGCGATGTCTAATCTGGGAATTTGTAAAACAAGAACTTGATCAATACTTGTTCTTTGCGGTCCTGAGGCTTGTTCAACAGTATCTGTACGCCATGAAGAATAATTGCATGTTGCTCAGTCTTTGATCACGAGCTTAGTTGTTTAGTGTCTTTCTTTTCTCTCAGCAACCGGCTTCAACTTCTCACTCCATTTGACAAGTGGGACGGTAAGGACCTTGAGGACATGACGATTTTGATCAAGGTAATTATTAATATAGAAACAGTTTTGATTTACGTATTGGTAATAAATCCTCACTTGGATCCCCGGCAAACAGTGTCCAGGCTATAATAAGGTATGGAGAGTACCAGCCAGAGGTAATTTGGAGCTAGTAACTCCAGTAGAGAAGACAAGTTTATCGCTGCCATTAGGGGATGGGAGAAGCAATGTGGCGGTCGTCCCTTTCGAAAAGATTGGGCGAGGCGTGGCGTGAGAGGACGAATTTGAAGCTAATCACTTCCACTGGGGGCTGCCCGTTAATTATGAGTCTGTTACGAGTTCTGTTTCAAGTATGAAAGGATGTTCTCGTTCAAGAAATGATATTTCGTTTACAAGTTTTATTTAGCATAGATAATTGAATAAGTTATTCAATGTGTATGTGTCTCGTACTTTAGTTTGAAATCTTTGCGAGCATTCCTTTGCTTCTGCAAGCATGCCCAAATTTGTAAATTTATATCTCTTTGAAATCGATAAACTGAAATGTGTGTATGCAATAATTATGCGGTATTTTGTTTTAACCAGGTCAAGGGAAAGTGCACAACAGACCACATCAGGTAAGCTTAGTTTGAGTTGCGGGGAGTCTCCGTTTTGATCATCCTCGGAGGCCCAGGGACAGCTAGTCGAGACGATGCGATATTTTTGAGCGACGCCATAGTTTCGGAAGAAAGTTTACATAGCCTATTTTTCTGACCTGTCATGCAAAGTACGGTTGTAAAGGTAGCCGCCTGTGCAACCGAAGTTTTCTTTGCCATATGTAATGTTTCTTGGCATGCATGTTACTAAGCAACGTGACACAAGAAAACGTTTGAAGGCTCCCGCCATTTTTTGATTGAATAGTAAGACTGGGAAATTCACAAGAATGAGAGTAACAAGAATAGGAATGCTTCTAGAAAATTTGCCAAGAAACTGCAGTAGTGTTCATTACTTAACTTTGTGTTCTGTTCTTTCGATATAGTGCTGCTGGTCCGTGGCTGAAGTACAGAGGCCATTTAGATAATATTTCCAACAACATGTTTATTGGGTGAGTATTCAACGAGAAAGCAGTGATTACACTGCAAGGATATGCGGACGGTGCGTACCTTGAACTTGCTAGGTGTTTGTTTGTAAAGAATTTTATTTACAAACGAAATATTGAACTGTTTGTTGTGGTGTGCATGGTACCTTTGTTGTCTGTTTGAGGTAGAATCGTTCCTACCATCTACAGATTTTTTGGAGCCGAGGTAATGACATGGCGACTGTTAGATTTTCCGCGGGTAATCTACTTCAGTTCCACTAACCCTAACCCCACGCGCGAGTCAATCGCGTGACGCGTCCACAAACACGCGTTGATTTGATTGGTCAAATGAAACGAAAGCAATTATAAATCAGATTTTGTTTTCTTTCAACGCACAGAGCCGTCAACAGTGAGAATGATAAGGTAAACAGCGTCAAGAATCAACTGACTGGAGAGTATGGAGCCGTCCCTGACACCGCACGAGATTACAAGGTAAACTATAAAGAACACGCGTGAACTGAGAAAATACATGAATTTTTTTATGGGTTCCTAAGTAGTCCAGTTCCAAGACTCCTGAATAAAAAGACTAAACACGCATATGTGCAGGGTTATAATATATTGTGAATAATTTACTTCAGATTGAGACTAACACATACCTCTTACTAACCGAGTTCGAGGTCCGTACTGTAAGTTACGGATCCTCGTTTTTTCCCCTTCGTTTTATGGCCCAAGCGCGAAGCG